GCTAATCCAAACAGGGCTTGGTCCCAATCAGTTTGGACTAGCGTGGCTCTACTGTAGTTAATCAAAGCCTCCTACTCCTAACATTTCCAAATCTGGTATTGTCTTTCACCTATCTAAGTCTGTTCTCAAAATTAAGGAAGGATGGACAAACAACAATGGAAATTTGTCTATAATTTTTTCAAATTGCAGCCCAAAAATACATTAACTTTTGAAAATTTAAATATATTATTTCTAAAAAATTAATCTTTTGAAATAATTTGTATTAATTTTGATTAGAATATTAACTGCTATTTTTTATTTATGTGAGATTGTGATTTACAGCTTTACTGTGAGATAATTCTGCAAAGAAAGGGCATGATTAAAAAATAACATCAAATGTCTTCTTGTGAGAAGGTAAATTGTCTACCTAACTTGGATGTGTCATTAAATCAAAGCTAGATTGGCCAAGATCTACAAAGCCAAAGTCTACAAAAGAAATAGACTATGATCCAAAGGGGGTTGAACCACTGAAGTTGAGGTTGAGGGGGTTGAGTCACTGAAGGATCTATCTGTGCACTACCAGAAAAGATGTATGATAAGAATTCTTCACAGTCAGAACTGAAGGAAAGGAATACAAAATATAAGATAACCTCAGACTCAGTCCAGCAGAAACCAAAAATCACTTTTTGAACATTTTCAGCCTACCCCAAATTGAAGGCTTTCTCAGGAACATTAGAATGAAATGTATGATAAACCAACACAGCCATAATTCAGTAAGAATTCTTCACAGTCAGAACTGGACAAAACGAATACAAAATGTAAGATCCACAAACCTCAGACATTTCATTCTAATGTTCTTGAGGAAGGCTTCAGAGTAGCTGACAACATTCAAAAAGTGATATTTGATTCATGTTAGATTGAATCTGAGGTTTGTGGATCTTATATTTTGGATATGTATGGGTTTATATCAGTTCAAAGTTCACAAAAAATGTCAGGAATCAAGATAACCAAGTGCCAAAAAACTAAACTGCCAGCAAAACTTGCTAAGGAACCAAACCACTCAAGAATAGAATCAAACTACCTTCAAACCAAAATAAGGACACAAATTCCAGTAATATATGATTGTAACTCTCTCTCTCTGCATGTAGAAATTGCAAAACAATGTAGTTTATCTGTTTTTACTTATTAAAATTAACTGTATGAAAAGTTTAATTTCACAAGAAAGTTTTCTGTATGTATCATTGCTTATTATTGTACGTAGTATTGCTCACTGTAGTTCAGAGATTGTAATAAATAAGTATACAATCTAAATTGAAATAAATAAATAAGCATTTTTTGGAAAATATACTTTATGAGCAGTGACTTTTGGATTTGAATATAATTTAATATATATATGAAAATTTAAATATATTATTTCAGAATATATATATATATATCAAAATAATATACAGGTAACCCCCATATAACACGGGAGTTACGTTCCAAAAAATTGCTGTGTCATACGAAACAAAGAACTAGTGCGAAAAGGGGGGTTAGGTTCCAAAAATTAAAAAACATGCTGTTAAATCCTTATTTAAATTGGATTTATTATTCACTTTTTTCACAGGTAAAATACTTATTTAAGTAAATATTTTACCAGAGGATAATTCATCCTATATGATGATCTCAGCATGAGCATCATCAACTGGTAACAGTTTTTGGGTGCGTTCGTTAATAGCTGTCGCTCTGCAACGGCAGTACGCTGCTGTTTGTAGGCATTTAGGAACAACGGTGAAAGAAAGATGGCGGCGCCTGCACTATCGATAGTATCGTGATGGAGGAATTTATAATTTTTAAATGAAGTTTTAGAGGCAAAGAAGGGTCCCAATTGTAAAATTTAACCATTAAATGGATTATTTGTTGAAAGAGCATTCAAAGTAGCCACGAAAAAATTAGAATGCTCGCGCGGAGTTACGCAGAGGTATAAAAGAACGCACTCTTTATTACATTTTATGTTGTACAAGGTTTTACCCAATTCCCAAACCTTGTTAGAGTGAACCCGTGCTATAGAAGTGCCGTGTTATACGGGGGTTACCTGTATACAGTAATACCTCGACTTACGCTACCCCGACTTACGCGAACCCGGAGTTACACGATTTTCAAATCTCGTGGATTTGTCTTTTGTTTGAGCGACACGCAGCTCTTGATTACTCACTCCCCCCACACTATTGTTCAGCTTACATGTTCGGATGTGTCGCGCGGAATCGACGCATAGTTACAATTTATTTTGTGTTATTTATTTCTGTGTTTTTTATATCTATGGAGACTTGAGAGACTCTATGTGGTGATTTCTTGTAACCGTGAATGAATCAAAAGACGTGATAAGATTAATGAGAACATTTATTAGCTTACATACATCTGAATTTGGATTTTACATAAATTGCGAAATTATACCCCGACTTATGCGAATTCAACTTACGCGGTTATCGCTTGGTCCCACCTATCACGTAAGTTCGGGGTATCACTGTATATATATATATTCTGAAATTAGTACTGTAATGTCTTGCCCCTGTACATCATACCTTTCCTTTAACAACAGACTCATGCTGGTCATCTATGTAACACCTTTCTGAAGAAAATTTTTGAATCGATATAACATAACTTCCAGTTTGTATCAGTTCTTATATACAGTAGAGTCCCGATAGTCTGAACACCACTAATCCGAACAAGTTTCAGTCAGTGGAGAGGAAATTTTTTAGCTCGCAAAATATACATTTTTCCGGTTGACTTCCACAACAAAAAAAATTGTATTTTATTGTAGTACTGTATTAATACTGTACAAAATTAATAAATCAGCATTTGACATGGCCTATTAAAACAGCAGATCTATACTGTACTTACATATAAAAACAGAAACAAAAGTCATTGATGATGTTGGATCCAGGGCTGTAGAGTTGGAGTCAGAAAAAATATGTCAACTCCGACATTTTAAATTTACTTTAGTTTTTTTATTTAAATGAAAGCGAATTTATTATATATTTATTAATTTTTAAAAAGTATTTTTGTATTTTGTTATAATTCATTTATTTTAAATGCAAAATACATCAATTTAATTTATTAAATACTGCATGTAGTATTCTTTGTAGTATTTGTCTTTAGTAGTTAAATTATTTTGACCCAATTGAATTTGAATATTTTTGAATCATTCCTTTTTTATCCTTGCTCTAAATAAATACTCTATTTTTCTGAATGAGCCAGACTAAATGATCAGAGTACATATTTTTCTTTTCTGAACAAGGAGCTGAAATAGCTAGCTAGATCACACACTTCTTAGTTGGACTAACTCTTATGGAAGAGTGAAATTGAAGTGCAAATGATGTTGAATATATGTAGATGTAGAATTTTATCACTTCCTTTCTCCCCTTATTAAATATTTGTTAAAAATTAATTTTTTTATACAAATAAATATTAATGTAAGTTAAATATTAAAAATACTAACTATAAAAGTAGTTGGGTAAATACCCCAGGCTCCTTTCAGAGTTCAGAGTAGGCCACCCCCTATGAGAGCCTCTGTCACCCATAAAATGACTTGGTATTTAAGTTTGCCTGAGTCAAGAATCGGAGTAGGCCTACTAAAATTATCAGGAGTCATTTCATCGTTAAAATTATTGAGTGTTTTTTACCAACTCTGCAGCCCTGGTTGGATCTATATAAACCAGACCTGTTTTACTGCTTGCTTTTGCATTATTTCAATTATTTGGCTAATCCAAACAGGGCTTGGTCCCAATCAGTTTGGACTAGCGTGGCTCTACTGTAGTTAATCAAAGCCTCCTACTCCTAACATTTCCAAATCTGGTATTGTCTTTCACCTATCTAAGTCTGTTCTCAAAATTAAGGAAGGATGGACAAACAACAATGGAAATTTGTCTATAATTTTTTCAAATTGCAGCCCAAAAATACATTAACTTTTGAAAATTTAAATATATTATTTCTAAAAAATTAATCTTTTGAAATAATTTGTATTAATTTTGATTAGAATATTAACTGCTATTTTTTATTTATGTGAGATTGTGATTTACAGCTTTACTGTGAGATAATTCTGCAAAGAAAGGGCATGATTAAAAAATAACATCAAATGTCTTCTTGTGAGAAGGTAAATTGTCTACCTAACTTGGATGTGTCATTAAATCAAAGCTAGATTGGCCAAGATCTACAAAGCCAAAGTCTACAAAAGAAATAGACTATGATCCAAAGGGGGTTGAACCACTGAAGTTGAGGTTGAGGGGGTTGAGTCACTGAAGGATCTATCTGTGCACTACCAGAAAAGATGTATGATAAGAATTCTTCACAGTCAGAACTGAAGGAAAGGAATACAAAATATAAGATAACCTCAGACTCAGTCCAGCAGAAACCAAAAATCACTTTTTGAACATTTTCAGCCTACCCCAAATTGAAGGCTTTCTCAGGAACATTAGAATGAAATGTATGATAAACCAACACAGCCATAATTCAGTAAGAATTCTTCACAGTCAGAACTGGACAAAACGAATACAAAATGTAAGATCCACAAACCTCAGACATTTCATTCTAATGTTCTTGAGGAAGGCTTCAGAGTAGCTGACAACATTCAAAAAGTGATATTTGATTCATGTTAGATTGAATCTGAGGTTTGTGGATCTTATATTTTGGATATGTATGGGTTTATATCAGTTCAAAGTTCACAAAAAATGTCAGGAATCAAGATAACCAAGTGCCAAAAAACTAAACTGCCAGCAAAACTTGCTAAGGAACCAAACCACTCAAGAATAGAATCAAACTACCTTCAAACCAAAATAAGGACACAAATTCCAGTAATATATGATTGTAACTCTCTCTCTCTGCATGTAGAAATTGCAAAACAATGTAGTTTATCTGTTTTTACTTATTAAAATTAACTGTATGAAAAGTTTAATTTCACAAGAAAGTTTTCTGTATGTATCATTGCTTATTATTGTACGTAGTATTGCTCACTGTAGTTCAGAGATTGTAATAAATAAGTATACAATCTAAATTGAAATAAATAAATAAGCATTTTTTGGAAAATATACTTTATGAGCAGTGACTTTTGGATTTGAAAAAAAAAACTCTTATTTTATTTATGTATAAAAAGCATTTAAAAATTAACACGGTGTTTATTTTCACATATGACATACAGTCATAGAAATTTTATCCATTAATTGTGAAGTCTGTTAAATTAAAGTTTTACTGTATTTCAATTAAAAACTTCATTATTCACTAATATTCAGGAAAAGCCTGAATTCAGAGAAAATAAAGTACACAAGCACACACACACACAATATATTAATTTACATTTAATTTATACAAACCTTTAATGTCTTTAGACATGTTCCAAGATATTTTTTTATATCATTATCTGAAGCAGGCAGAACTTTTAAAGAAAGATGAATTAAATGCTTGAAAGGATTTGTTTCTACAACTTCAAGATGAGCTGGATTTAAATCCAATATAGATTTACTTGGTAGGGTTAAATTCAAAAGAAATCTAGAAAATAAATTAATGTTTTATTCTTTTAACCTTCTAATCAAATAAATATTTTTTTAAGTATAACCATTCATCTAATGTAAAGATAGTAGTAAACATATTTTTGTTCAAAATATTTATTAATTTAAATACAAGCTTAATACAAACATTTTGGAATGACTTAAAAGTATTTTAAGATAAAACTGTAGTAAATTGGATACTGTAGACATTATTGAGCATATCACAAAAAAGTTATTGTTTACATCATTCTTATTACCAGGGCTGTTGAGAGCATCTATGGAGTCCAGGGGTACAGCAGCCACTTTGCCATTGTTTCTTGAATAAATGAAATATATAATGTTGTTTTTTATTAATAAAATACGTGTGCCGGGCTGTGAATGGCTCACATATTTGTAAAATCTAAGTGATTCGTAAAAATTGTAAAAATACACATTAAATTTATAATGCTAGATGATGATTAAAAGATTTCTATTTATTTCTCTAAATAAAACATAATTATATATATATATATATTGTATGGCAATAATCAAAAGCACAGATCAAGCCAAATTGTAGATGCTCAATAAATTAAGTTTATCATTTCTCATTCAATTTTTAAAAGAAGATTAAAAACAAAATGTATATAGAAACTTTTATCCTAAAATGTTTCATATTGAAAACATCTTATGACAAAAACTTTAAATGTATAGTTATTTATCTTTTCCTTATTTAAACATAAAACATTTTGTACTGTAAAATATATATAAAATGCAAATACTTTGTAATTCTGTATACACTGATAAATATTTTAGTAACAGGTATTTGTTTTGCTTTTTAAGGTACAACATTATTATTTCACTCATCACTAAAATCTTGTAATTTGGATATATGAATTTGAATATATNACTCAAATGACGAAGTCATCTCTGAAGTGAACGAGTATTTTGCACACCTTGACAAATCGACCTATTGTGATGGCATAAAAAAGCTAGAACATCGCTGGAATAAGTGCATTGCTAACAGAGGAGATTACGTTGAAAAATAAAAAAAGTTTTAACATTATTTTGTTTGTTTTTCTATGTGAGGCCGTGAACTTTCCGAACAGCCCTCGTAAATTAACATTAAACATATATTACTATAAGTTTTTATTTAAAGATTAGTTAAGTAAATAAATGTTAAAGTAATTACCATTTTTATCATTTGCACAAACCCCTAATAAAAAATGTGATATCAAGCCACCTCTTCTTCCTTCACCAAAATAGCCTCCTATAATCAGTAGATCTAATTCATCCGTAAGATTATTAACATATTCTGGTTTAACTTTAACCCATCCTCTTTTCCTACTATTTGGATAGTATACTGATGACATATCTTTAATCATAATTCCTTCCTCACGATTATCAATTGCTTCATTTAGAGCATCAACTACTTCTTTTCTGATAAATTATAAAATTAATTTATTAATTATAATATTAATAATATGTACCTTTGAAAGTCATCATCATTTAAAACAAGACTGTACAAGAAAAATGGATCACATTCATCTGTTAATCGAATAATAAGCTCCTGAAATAAAAAACTGGACATTAAAAAAATGCTTCCTATTTAAAATTAAAAATACAACAATTTTATATTCTACCTTTCTCAGTGCAGGAGTATTCACAATAGCATTTTCTACAGTAATAAACAGCCGAATTTTTCTGTAAATGTAATACTAAAATTATGTGATGTAGAAATAACTGATTCAGTATAAATACAAACAACACCAATACAATTTACATCTTATAAATCAGCAAACATTTTAACTCATATCGGTTAATTCTTTTGATCATATTCAATGATCATCTTTAAGCTGCTTAACAGTAATTGAGTGTTTTTAAATAAAACATAATGTCAAAAGTCAACCATACAAATTTTGAATAACATTTAAAATAAGCAGATGTACTTCAATTGGTGATATTAATTAACATAAAATAAAATAAAATGATAAAGACAAATAAATGAAATTACAATATAAATATGGTTGGGATCTGAAATCATGATCTCCACATTTAGGAGAGTTTAAAGTTTATAAACTTCCACTGTCATATAGACTTATAAATCTCCAGATCTTCCATATGTTTAAGGTTATATCTGTTTCACAAAGATATACAGTACAACCACGTTTAGCACTTAACATGTGTTCCTAGATGACAAAGTGCTAAATGAAACAGCATTAAACAAGGTTATTTTAACACATAATAAATAGGGAAAGGGGAAAACGTGACCAAAAATAAACTAATTTTACTATAATCTTAAGTTATTTTTATATTAATTTGCATAATAATATATGTTATATAACACACATACATATGCACACAGAAATATAAAGTTCATTTTTGTGATGAAGGTCCTGGCTCTTCTGAAATTCTGACTTTTTTGCAATGAAGTTGTCCATTGTCATCTGTTGCTTTCTTTTTCTTTCATTAAGTGAATATCAGTAGCAGGAGCATCCAAAATGCCTCGTATCGCTTTTGCACTCCTTTTGAAATCTGGCTCATTCGCTACAATTTGATCAATGATTTTGTTTAGTGTTAGCAAACTTTTACTAAGGAAATCTGTAGCAAGTTCTTTGTTTTCAGAATCACTATTTTCCAGTTCTACATGAATTCCTTGTTCTGTCAGTTCTTGAAGGTCATTGTTGGTAAGGCTTTTGCCAGAAACCTGCAGTAACTCCTCAATATCCTGCTCCTCTACATCTCCTAGTCCTGCTGTATCGATTAGGTTGACAATTTGGTCAACAATAGGCTCTTCTCATTGAGAATCCCTCGATATCTCCAGCCAAATCTTTTTCCACACTCCGTTCATGCATTTATCAGTTAATTCTTGCTAAGCGAAGTCGATATTGCCTATGGGATCAATAATGTTATATTTTTTCCAAAATTGCACCAAACAAACATAGATTTAGGGAGCGTACAGTGCTACAATAAAGTGACACCTTTTAATTGATTCATGTTTGGGAATAATCCTATTATATATGAATCAATAAAATGCCACGCTANGCTAGATGATGATTAAAAGATTTCTATTTATTTCTCTAAATAAAACATAATTATATATATATATATATTGTATGGCAATAATCAAAAGCACAGATCAAGCCAAATTGTAGATGCTCAATAAATTAAGTTTATCATTTCTCATTCAATTTTTAAAAGAAGATTAAAAACAAAATGTATATAGAAACTTTTATCCTAAAATGTTTCATATTGAAAACATCTTATGACGAAAACTTTAAATGTATAGTTATTTATCTTTTCCTTATTTAAACATAAAACATTTTGTACTGTAAAATATATATAAAATGCAAATACTTTGTAATTCTGTATACACTGATAAATATTTTAGTAACAGGTATTTGTTTTGCTTTTTAAGGTACAACATTATTATTTCACTCATCACTAAAATCTTGTAATTTGGATATATGAATTTGAATATATAAGAATGGTAAACGAATTTTTACCAACTAGATCTTCATCCAATAAGAGAAGGTCCTGTTAACTTTTTAAAAACTGTTAAAACGAAAGGAAAACTTATGAAATCATTCCATTTCATGACTTTGCAGAAAATGACTTTTGTCTGTTTGCTTTATGCATTTTATTACTTTGTATTTAAAACATTTAACAAATTTTAATTTTTAGCCGTTTCACTAATTCATTCAAAGATGTAAGATTTGAATAAAACAGAGTTGTTTATAGAAAATTATAACATATAAATCAATAATTTAAACATATAAATATTATTACCTAGGTACTTCGTTAAGTTCTTCCTTTTGACATAATTCTAAAAGATCAATGAATTTTTGTGGAAATGCAGGAAAATCAACTAGTAATCCCTGCTGATTTTTAAGACTAAATAAACAAGATTAATTATAATTAATAAATTATAGGTAATAATAAATAATTATGTATTTATCATCATCAAATAGAAATATTTTATAAGATTAATCATATGATAAGATGTGCATAACTCATTAAACAACATGAACTTTAAAATTTCACAATAAATATAAAAGCAAAACTTTACATATATTTTTACACTAATAAACTCAATAAATTAAAATCAATTATAAAATTAATTTATTAATTATAATATTAATAATATGTACCTTTGAAAGTCATCATCATTTAAAACAAGACTGTACAAGAAAAATGGATCACATTCATCTGTTAATCGAATAATAAGCTCCTGAAATAAAAAACTGGACATTAAAAAAATGCTTCCTATTTAAAATTAAAAATACAACAATTTTATATTCTACCTTTCTCAGTGCAGGAGTATTCACAATAGCATTTTCTACAGTAATAAACAGCCGAATTTTTCTGTAAATGTAATACTAAAATTATGTGATGTAGAAATAACTGATTCAGTATAAATACAAACAACACCAATACAATTTACATCTTATAAATCAGCAAACATTTTAACTCATATCGGTTAATTCTTTTGATCATATTCAATGATCATCTTTAAGCTGCTTAACAGTAATTGAGTGTTTTTAAATAAAACATAATGTCAAAAGTCAACCATACAAATTTTGAATAACATTTAAAATAAGCAGATGTACTTCAATTGGTGATATTAATTAACATAAAATAAAATAAAATGATAAAGACAAATAAATGAAATTACAATATAAATATGGTTGGGATCTGAAATCATGATCTCCACATTTAGGAGAGTTTAAAGTTTATAAACTTCCACTGTCATATAGACTTATAAATCTCCAGATCTTCCATATGTTTAAGGTTATATCTGTTTCACAAAGATATACAGTACAACCACGTTTAGCACTTAACATGTGTTCCTAGATGACAAAGTGCTAAATGAAACAACATTAAACAAGGTTATTTTAACACATAATAAATAGGGAAAGGGGAAAACGTGACCAAAAATAAACTAATTTTACTATAATCTTAAGTTATTTTTATATTAATTTGCATAATAATATATGTTATATAACACACATACATATGCACACAGAAATATAAAGTTCATTTTTGTGATGAAGGTCCTGGCTCTTCTGAAATTCTGACTTTTTTGCAATGAAGTTGTCCATTGTCATCTGTTGCTTTCTTTTTCTTTCATTAAGTGAATATCAGTAGCAGGAGCATCCAAAATGCCTCGTATCGCTTTTGCACTCCTTTTGAAATCTGGCTCATTCGCTACAATTTGATCAATGATTTTGTTTAGTGTTAGCAAACTTTTACTAAGGAAATCTGTAGCAAGTTCTTTGTTTTCAGAATCACTATTTTCCAGTTCTACATGAATTCCTTGTTCTGTCAGTTCTTGAAGGTCATTGTTGGTAAGGCTTTTGCCAGAAACCTGCAGTAACTCCTCAATATCCTGCTCCTCTACATCTCCTAGTCCTGCTGTATCGATTAGGTTGACAATTTGGTCAACAATAGGCTCTTCTCATTGAGAATCCCTCGATATCTCCAGCCAAATCTTTTTCCACACTCCGTTCATGCATTTATCAGTTAATTCTTGCTAAGCGAAGTCGATATTGCCTATGGGATCAATAATGTTATATTTTTTCCAAAATTGCACCAAACAAACATAGATTTAGGGAGCGTACAGTGCTACAATAAAGTGACACCTTTTAATTGATTCATGTTTGGGAATAATCCTATTATATATGAATCAATAAAATGCCACGCTAATTTGAATCAACATAAATTTTGAGCTTTTTTTAAAGCTTTGAACAGATCATATTATATCAAATCAGCGTTAATTGAGAAAGAGCTAAATGAAGTCTTACTGTATGTTATATTTGTTATATTATATATTATATTATGTATATTTGTTATATTATATATTATATTACAGTATGTATATATGTTATACGACTATGTTATTTTTTTTTAACATATTGTAAATTATTATGTGGTAAAGTAAGAAAACAAAATTTGTTACCTGCATAAAGAGCCATCCTTAATATTAATATTAAGAGACTTATTAAAAAGAATTTCAACTTCACTGCTGTTACATATCATTTTACTATATCAAAGTTCCATATTATTTTCTAAAAATAAATAAATAAATAAATAAAATTCATATTTAAAATTTTTTAAATAATTAGTAATATAATAGCAAAACAATATGCATATACATATGGAAAATATTTAATTACATTGAAAACCAACATTTAAATACGAGGGCTGTTCGGAAAGTTCACGGCCTTGCCTATATGCGGCACTGCGATCAATTTAATTTTTGGCAGGAATAATTCAGCCATCTTTGCTAAGGATACGATACCAATTTCCGCTTGATTTGTCATAAAGTTTTGACACGACAGCTTGGCAGATAGTCAGTGTACACATGCTTTGTCAAAAATGGAGAAGACAGAGACTCTTGCGGTCATAAAATACCTGATGAAAAAAGGGTTGACCCCATCTCAAATCAAAGCTGACATGGATGAAGTTTTGGGAGAGTCTGCTCCTT